CTTCTGACGTAGATTAAAAAAATATTCTTTGAAGAGCCTTTTAGACGTCGATTACAAAAAATATTCTTTGAACCGCCTTTTAGACGTGGATTTTTTTTTAAATATTCTTTGAAGGGCCATCTAGACGTACATTTAAAAAAATATATATTCTTCGAAGAACCTTCTAGACGTGGATTAAAAAAAAGTATTCTTTCAAGAGCCTTCTAGACGTGGCTTTTTTAAAAAAAAATATTCTTTGAAGGGCCTTCTAGACGTGGATTTTTAAAAAATATTCTTCGAAGAATCCTCTGACGTAGATTAAAAAAATATGCTTTGAAATGTCTTTAAGACGTGGATATAAAAAAAATATTCTTCGAACAGCCTTCTAGACGTGTTTTTTTAAATATTCTTTGAAGAGCCTCCTAGACTTGGATGTTTTTTAAAATATTCTTTGAATAGCCTTGTAGATGTGGATTAAAAAATATTTTTTGAATAGCCTTGTAGACGTTGATTAAAAAAAAATTTTTTGAAGAGCCTTCTAGACGTGAATTTTTTTAAAATAAAATGTTTTTTGAATAGCCTTCTAGACGTGGATTTTTTTAAAATAAAATATTTTTTGAAGAGCCTTCTAGACGTGGATTTTTTTTTAAATATTCTTTGAAGAGCCTTCTAGATGTGTTTTTTTTTTTTTAATATTCTTTGAAGAGCCTTCTAGACGTGTTTTTTTTAAATATTCTTTGAAGAGCCTTCTAGACGTGGATTTAAAAAAAAATATTTGAAGATCCTTCTAGACGTGGATTAAAAAAATATTTTTGAATAGCCTTGTAGACGTGGATTAAAAAAATATTCTTTGAAGAGCCTTCTAGACGTGGATTAAAAAAAATATTTTTGAAAGAGCCTTCTAGACGTGGATTAAAAAAATATTTTTGGAAGAGCCTTCTAGACGTGGATTAAAAAAATATTTTTGGAAGAGCCTTCTAGACGTGGATTAAAAAAATATTTTTGGAAGAGCCTTCTGGACGTGGATTAAAAAAATATTTTTGGAAGAGCCTTCTGGACGTTGATTAAAAAAATATTTTTGGAAGAGCCTTCTAGACGTGAATTTTTTTTTAAAATAAAATATTTTCTGAAGAGCCTTTAGTCTCGGAAACATTTGCCACCTGCCGCCCTTGCCAGACTGAGAAAACTGGGCATAATCCACGGGAATGAAGGTCTTATATTCTTTCATGGGAGATTTTTAGTCTCGGATTGGAGTAGTAGGTTAAGTAGTATTCAGTGTATTGTAAATATTTAGTTTAATTTTTTTATCTAGTCGTTCTACGATGGGGCGCAAATCGACGGTATAGACGTCTTTATGCCAAAGACTGGACTGACATTCTAAGACAGACACCAGTTCAAAGATAATATCATCGTTGAGAGAATGCTTTAAGGATGTGGACCAGCTTCGAGCTCGGAAGCTGTCGCCTTTGATAGGTTGATCTTATATTCTTTTATTGGAGATTTTTAGCCTCGGATTGGAGTAGACTGGTGTACAACACAGCCCATTGTACATACACATATCAGAGATGGGAACCTGTTTTCCATGCAGTGAAATTTGAAAAGGTAAATTACAAAAATTCAGAGATGGGAATGCTTATTTGAAATGAATTTAACTTCTTAATGTTATCATGAATTATTCTTTCCAATAATTAAATTAAAGCAAAATTGACAACACTCTACATCCAAATTCCCATTTAATTATGTCCATAATAAAAACAAATGCTAAGAATAACTTTTTAAAATTAAAAGAGCATGATATCACTTCGAGAAGGATTATATTAAAAAAATATATATCGGAGCCGAGTTCCTCCAAATCGAAACGTACACCCCGAAATTCACTCCATTTGGGCTGATATTAGCCATTATTGGCACAATAAACCTGCAAATGCAATAAAGATATATATGGCAGCTATATCCAAATCTGAGCCGAACTCGATAAAATTTGGCAAAGGTATTTTCGAGCTCTATAAGATATCTGGTACCGAATATCATTGATGTGGAGTGAATATTACGCATGTGAGGGACTTAAACCCCCAAATCGGATGAAACATACATATGGAACTATAGCTTTATCTGCTCCGATTTTGATTAAATTTGAGATTCTTGCTTCTAGACTAAATTCAGTCGGATGTGCCAAAATTCAGTTCGTTTGGACTGCTATATCAAAATTTGAACCGATTCTCTCCAATTTCCATAGGGTTCGTCCTTGGGCCAAATAAATATTGTTTGGAATATTGCATATTTTCGTATGGGAACAAAGGAGTTTTAGTTTGACTTAGTTTGATTTTGGCCCTATGCTCCTTTGTTCCTCTACGAAGAAGCCAGCTGTACAAAATACTTTTGAGTGCGGTTGAGGGGGCTTGAAAAAATCTAGCAAAAAACAATGAATATTCTAAAATTCCATATTTCCCAGCCGCCATAAAACACCATAGGTGAACAATTCGGTGATCTTGTGCGGATAATGTGTAAGATATTAAAGTTATGACCCACACGCACAGATATCGATGCGCTCAGTAGATGTACAAGACCACTTGAATGAAATGTCAAACAGCCCTGCAATGTTCTCCATTCAATATTAGCATAGATGTGAATAATTGTGTGGCTGCGATTAGGTTAAGTTAGAATAGTTTCAGTAGTACTTAAGGAACATATTTTTAAATAAAAATCAGAATTAAATCAACAGCCAAACCATTCGGTTGTCTTTCTCTACTCATTTACATTGGTCCTTCGAGCCGGATACAAAGAATTGAAATTACACCCTAACGAAGCGGTCGTGTTGATTTCCTGGGTTAAACATTTGGTCCAGCGAGCCGGATAGAGAATAGAGTTGATAATCGAAGAGGGAGATTGGATCCTTCAAGCCGGATCGAGAATTGAAGCTACATCCTAAATATAAGTTTGTTCTTTCTTTTCTCATTATTAAAAACATTGATCCTCCGAGCAGGATTCAGAATAGCTTTGAGAATCGAAGAGGGAGATTGGATTCCATTCTCAAACATTGGTCTTTCGAGCCGGATAGAGAATTGAAATTACACCCTAACGAAGCGGTCGTGTTTATTTTCTCGGAGTTGATAGAGTTGAAATCGAAGAGGGAGATTGGACTCTATTCTAATTTACATTGATCCTTCAAGCCGGATCGAGAATTGAAACTACATCCAAAGCATAAGGTTGTTCTTTCTTTTTTCATTATTAAAAACATTGATCCTCCGAGCAGGATCCAGAATAGAATTTACAATCGAAGAGGGAGATTAGATTCCATTCTCAAACATTGGTCCTTCAAGCCGGATACAGAGAATTGAAATTACACCCTAACGAAGCGGTCGTGTTTATTTTCTCGGAGTTGATAGAGTTGAAATCGAAGAGGGAGATTGGACTCTATTCTAATTTACATTGATCCTTGAAGCCGGATCGAGAATTGAAGAAACTACATCCAAAGCATAAGATTGTTCTTTCTTTTCTCATTATTAAAAACATTGATCCGCCGAGCAGGATCCAGAATAGAATTGACAATCGAAGAGGGAGATTAGATTCTATTCTCAAACATTGGTCCTTCGAGCCGGATACAAAGAATTGAAATTACACCCTAACGAAGCGGTCGTGTTTATTTCCTGGGTTAAACATTTGGTCCTTCGAACCGGATAGAGAATAGAGTTGACAATCGAAGAGGGAGATTGGAGTCTATTCTAATTTACATTGATCCTTCAAGCCGGATCGAGAATTGAAGAAACTACATCCAAAGAATAAGATTGTTCTTTCTTTTCTCATTATTAAAAACATTGATCCTCCGAGCAGGATTCAGAATAGAATTTACAATCGAAGAGGGAGATTGGATTCCATTCTCAAGCATTGGTCCTTCGAGCCAGATACAGAGAATTGAAATTACACCCTAACGAAGCGATCGTATTCTTTTCTCGCCCTCTTACATTTGGTCCTTCGAGCCGTATAGAGAATAGATTTGACAAGCGAAGACTGAGATTGGACTCTATTCTAATTTACATTGATCCTTCAAGCCGGATCGAGAATTGAAACTTTCTTTTCTCATTAAAAACATTGATCCTCCGAGCAAGATTCAGCAAAGAATTGACAATCGAAGAGGGAGATTGGATTATATTCTCAAACATTGGTCCTATGAGCCGGATACAGATAATTGAAATTACACCCTAACGAAGCGGTCGTGTTTATTTTCTCGGTTAAACATTTGGTCAAGCGAGCCGGATCGAGAATTGAAACTACATTCAAAGAATAAGGTTCTTCTTTCTGTTCTCATTATTAGAAACATTGATCCTCCGAGCAGGATCCAGAATAGAATTTACAATCGAAGAGGGACTTAATCCAGCCAAACATGCGTTTTATGTATTCCCACCCTTAAGCTTGAAGTTAGTTCGAAAACACTGTACCCCCAACACATTGATGCAGTTTTGCGGGCCATGCAACGGCTCAATACTAGGCACGGTTCATGTTGGGAGTGCAACGCAAAAACCAAACCTCAACCGCTAACACTTGAGATGTGTACGAGAAGGAGGAGGAAGAGGAAGCCCTTCGACTTCAGACCGCATAAATATTTATGAGACTTTTGCAAATCTGGAGGTTGACAATGTTTGAAGTTCCATTGGCCTATGACGACAGACGGCAACAACAACAACAACGGCGGGATGATGAGCATTTCTGTAAACACATTTAAGTACTCTGGGGTTTTTTGCTTTTGTCGGTGTTGCTCTTTCCTCTTTCATTGGCATTATCTGTTGTTGTTGTTGCATGTGTTGGATGATTGGCCTATGCGTAGATAAGCTGGTTAAACTGGATAGGTTTGGATTTTCCTGCCAAAGAAAAATTGTTTTTTTTTTTTTTTTTTTTTTGAGGAGAGGGATATGGGAATGGGAAGAGAGGGAGAGAGAGAGAAAAAAAATATTTTTTATTTATTTTGCATTGCTTGCCTTTATTTGTCATCGTTTAACTCACGTTTTTGCTTCCTTTGTTTCCAGAAATCCCAATTGGTGGCGTAGACGTACCACTCTGGAAAGATGCCTAACCTTGATTTCCATATTCGCCTGCCTTGCTGTTGTTGGCCTCATAGCGGGCTTGTGCTTTGTTTTGCTCTCAAATCACATGGCTGAAGGTAAGTGACCGGGGATATTAGACGGAGATAAAAATATGGAAATTTTCGGGGGATCGTTTTGCTCTCAAAATTCTACATCCTGGTCCTATGGGCCGTTTTTCTCATGAGGACACCATTAAAATTTCAATACTTAAACCTTATTTTCTCTCTTTTATTTCTCTCCCCTCTTCCCTCTCTTGAATAGAGCTCAAACCGGAAGACCCCATGAATTTGGCATTGCATGGCGCAACCTCAAAGCCCACACAAAACCAGGTGCCCTACACCCCCAGCAAGGCTGAGGCAGGTGGCCATAGTAAAAAGGAAACCGATGTCTGTTTATCCTCCGAATGTATTCACACCGCCTCTGCGGTGCTGGGTAAAATGAAAACCGAAATTGAACCTTGTGATGATTTCTATCGTTTTGCCTGTGGCACTTACATTGAGGAGACCAATATCCCAGATGACAAGGTGGCCGTCAATACCTTCTCCATCATTTCCGACAAACTTCAGGAACAACTTAAGGACATTGTGGCCGAAGAACGTCCCGAAACGGATCCGAAACATTTCCGTTTACCGAATGCCTTGTATCGGGCCTGTATGAACAAAAGTAAGTTGCAGCGGTGGAATTTTGTCGATCCAAAATATTATTAAAAATTGTTCCCTTTTTAGCTCTCATCGAGTCAATGGGTGCCAAGCCGATCAAGGAAGTCGCCGCCAGATTGGGTGGTTGGCCTGTCATTGTTGGCGATGCCTGGGATCAAGACAATACCTGGACATGGCAGGAAACAGTGAAGAAATTCCGTCGCCTTGGATTCAGCATGGATTACATTGTGGACTTTTCGATTGGTGTCGATTTGAAGAACAGCACGAAACGTATTATTGATGTAAGTTTGAATTCGCACACACACACACACACATACATGCAAATAAGGTGGATTTTATCCATAGCGTAGGAAGCGAGATAGACCCATAGTTATTTTGAGGATCTTCATGAGTCGATGTATGCATGTCAGTCCGTCTGTCCGTCCATGTAGTCTTGTGAACAAAATGTGAATGAAATTCTCCAAGTAATATTTGTGTGGCCCAAGGACGAACCCTATTGAAATTGGTGATAATCGGATCAAATTTAGATATAGCTCCCATATATATAGCTTCAACCGATTTTGGGTTATTTGTTCGCCATATGGCCAATATCAATCCAAATGACCTGAATTTCGGCACATCCAACCGAATTCAGTCTAGAAGCAAGTACATTAAATTTGGTGAAAATCGGTTCAGAAATAGCTATAGCTCCCATATATATGTTTCATCCGATTTCGGGTTTATGTGTCTCACATTCGTAATATGCACTCCACAAAAATAATATTTGGTACCAGATATCAGATACAGCCCAGAAATACCTGTGCCAAATTTTATCAAAATCGGTTCAGATTTGGATATAGCTCCCCTGTATATCCTCAACCGATTTCGGGTTAATTGAGCACCATGTGGCCAATATCAGTCCAAATGACCTGAATTTTGATACATCCGACCGTATTAAGTCTAGAAGCAAGTACATCAAATTTGGTGAAAATAGGCTCAGATATAGCTATAGCTCTCATATATAGGTTTCATCCGATTTCGGGTTTATGTCTCTCACATTCGTAATATGCACTCCACAAGATAGATATTTGGTGCCAGATACAAGATACAGCCCAGAAATGCCTCCGTCAAATTTTATCGAAATAGGTTCAGATTTGGATATAGCTCCCACATATATCTTCAACCGATTTTGGGGTTAATTGTGCACAAAATGGCCAATATCAGTCCAAATGACCTGAATTTCGGCACATCCAACCGAATTCAGTCTAGAAGCAAGTACATTAAATTTGGTGAAAATCGGTTCAGATATAGCTATAGCTCCCATATATAGGTTTCATCCGATTTGGTGAAAAAGTCCCTCACATTCGTAATATGTATTCGACATCAATGAGATTTGGTACCAGATATCAGATACAGCCCAGAAATACCTCTGTCAAATTTTATCAAAATCGGTTGAGATTTGTATATAGCTCCCCATATATACCTTCAACCGATTTCGGGTTAATTTTGCACCAAATGGCCAATATCTGTCAAAAAGCCCTGAATTTTGGCACATCCGTCCAGATTTAGGCTAGAAGCAAGTACATCAAATTTGGTGAAAATCGGTTCAGATATAGCTATAGCTCCCATATATAGGTTTCATCCGATTTCGTGTTTATGTGCCTCACATGCTTAATATGCACTCCACAATAATGAGATTTGGTACCAGATATCAGATACAGCCCAGAAATACCTATGCCAAATTCAATCAAGATCGGTTAAGATTTGTATATAGCTCCCCATATATACCTTCAACCGATTTCGGGTTAATTTTGCACCAAATGGCCAATATTTGTCAAAAAGTCCTGAATTTTGGTACATCCAACCGGATTCAGTCTAGAAGCAAGTGCATCAAATTTGGTGAAAATCGGTTCAGATAGAGCTATAGCTCCCATATATAAGTTTCATCCGATTTGGTCTTTGGACTACTTCAAATAAATTATTTTGTTACGGGAGCTCTACTAAATATCCATAGTGGTGTAGGGTATCATATAGTCGGCTCCGCCCGACTTTTAAATTTTCCTTATTGTTTTTTTTTTCATAATATGTATAGCTCTTAGTCGATTTTTAAATGATTCCCTTCTGGGTGTTTTGTGTGTTACTTCCAGCCCTGTATGTAAATTACTCAAAATTGTAGCATACTTTTAGGCTTTTCATTGAATTTCTTTACAATTCTATATTTAGATTGATTAAAGGCACTTTAAATTGTTTTATTTTTAGTTGGATCAATCCTCCATTGGCTTGAGTCGTGAATATCTGATCAAGGGCTTCAACGAAACTCTGGTCAAGGCCTACTACGAATATATGGTCGATATGGCTGTGCTGTTTGGTGCCGACAAAGATAAGGCCACCAAAGAGTTGGCCGAGTCGCTGCAATTTGAAATGGATTTGGCAAATGTAAGTAGTCTGAGAATCCAAACAAGAAATTTTCAAATAACAATTTGTTTTAAATCCCTTACAGATCTCCTGGTCCAACGAGAAGAGACGTAACTCCAATGATTTGTACAATTTGAGAACCATTAAAGAAGTCCAGGAGGCCTATCCCTATGTGGAATGGGTGGACTACATTAATGCCCTGTTGCCCGAAGGTTTGAAGGTCGATGAGAATGAAGTTATCAATTTGTCGGTGCCCAGTTTTATGGAAGATTTGGGTAAAGTGTTGAAACGTACCCCCAAGCGTACCATTGCCAATTACATGATGTGGCGTATTCATGCCTTTTCGGTGGCCTTCCTGTCGGAGGAGTTCCGTAAACGTCAATTGCAATATGCCACCGCCTTGACGGGTCGCCAGGAGCAAGAGGCCCGCTGGAAGGAGTGTGTGGATATTTCATCGGGAAGGTAAGGAAAGCCGGCGAATGTTTTGGGTTATAGTTTTTGTTTTTTTTTTCGTTCCTTTTTCTTTGGTGTAATGGATTTTTGTTTTCTTGTTTGGCCTAGAAAGTGAGAGCAGAGAAGTGCAGCATGCCTTGTAAAATTTGCATGTGGAAGGAAATTTTGTTTTTCTGTATTTTTTTTTTCTAAATAATTTTATGTTTTTTAGTATTTTCTTTTCGGTATTGTTGTAGTTGTGATTTGTCGTTTCTTTCTCTCTGTCATGTCTTATTTCCGTTTCCTGTTTCAATGTTAACTTGTATCGTAGTTCCTGTGTGTGTTTGTGTCTGTCTGTCTATCTCTCTTTCATTTTCCCTACATTCCACATATGTACTCTTCCAAGGACATGTGTATATGTTATTATTTCTTTTTCTCTTCTTTTTTTCTTTGTGTCTCTCTTTTTTTTTTCTTGGAAAACAAAAATAAAACATTCTAGCAGTGACGATGATGATACGTAAGATCATAAATTTAAAAAAAAAAAAAACACCCACATACACACAAACATATATGTCAACATTTTCACATTCTCTTGTTTTTGTTTTTGGAATTGTCATCACAAATTTTTATTAACCAAATCATTTTGTTAAACATTTGTTGATCACCGGCAATTTGTTGAGCACCATTCTATGATTTTTGTCAAGCACCACGCAAATATTTTGGGTCGCAATTTAATTAAAAAAGTAAGGTTAGGTTTTAAAATGTAACATGAGGTTAGAATTTTGATCTTCTAAGAAATATTAAATTTATTGGTAGGCAGTTTGTGGATACGCAAACCCTGGATCCGAATTGTCTAAGGTAGCCAAAAAAAAATGCTCAAAATATTAAGAAGTCTTGGGTGTTGCTTGCCCTTTGGGAAAAAAAGAAAAGATAATTTATCGAAATCTGTTATCGAGATATCGGGTTCGTAAGGTATATAAAAAAAAATCTAACTGAAAATTGTCAACATAGGTTCAAGATATTATATTCAGTCCCCACATAAGGGTGCCTCCCGATTTTGAATACTTTCATAATTTTACGAATTATTTTAACTAAGTACAGTGTGAGATAAAAAAATACTGCAACAAAGGCAAATGCCATATTTATACCCTACACCACAAGGTGGTCAGGGTATTATGTCTTTGTGCATTTGTTTGTAACAGGCAAAAGGAAACGAGATAGACACAGAGTTCCTTTTGATGATCTGCATAGAATCACTTTCTGAGTTGATTTATGCATGTCCGTCCGTCCGTCTGTCCATGTATTCTTGTGAACAAAATGCAGGTCGCATTTATTATCCAATTCAGATGTAATTTTGCACAAATCATTTGTTTGGCCCAAGGACGAACCCCATTGAAATTGGAGATAATCGGTCAACATTTAGATATAGCTCCCATAAATAACTTCGTCCGATTTACTTTTTATTGTGCACCAAACGTGTAATATCAGTCCGAATAGTATGGAATTTTGCACATACAACCTAATTAGGCCTGAAAATAAGTGTGCCAAATTTTATCGAAATCGGTTCAGATATAGCTATAGCTGTCATATATATTGTTCATCCGATTTTTTATTTGTCCTCCGCAGACGTAATATGCACTCTGTAACAACAATATTTGGGGACATATATCCAATGTAGCTCAGAAATATTTTCGCTAAATTTTATCGAGATCGGTTCAGATTTGGATATAGCTCCCATATATAACTTCGCCCGACTAACCTTTTATTGTACACCAAACGTCTAATATTTGCCCAAATGGGATTAAATTTGGCACATGCGACCGAATTGGGTGTAGAAGCTAGTATGCCAAATTTGGTGAAGATCGGTTCAGATATAGCTATAGATCCCCCATATATATTGTTCATCCGATTTATTATTTTTGTCCTCCGCAGCCGTAATATGCACTCTGTAACAACAATATTTGGGGAAATATATCAAATGCAGCTCAGAAATATCTTTGCCAATTTTTATCGATATCGGTTCAGATTTGGATATAGCTCCCACATATATAACTTCGTCCGATTTACTTTATATTGTGTACCAAACGCCTAATATTTGTCGAAATGGGATGGAATTTGGCACTTACGACCGAATTGAGTCTAGAAGCTAGTATGTCAAATTTGGTGAAGATCGGTTCAGATATAGCTATAGCTCCCATATATATTGTTCATCCGATTTGTTATTTTTGTCCTCCGCAGCCGTAATATGCACTCTGTAACAACAATATTTGGGGAAATATATCAAATACAGCCCAGAAATATATGTGCCAAATTTTAGCGAGATCGGTTCCGATTTGGATATAGCTCCCACATATATAACTTCGTCCGATTTACCTTTGATTGTGCACCAAACCATCTAATATTTGCCCAAATGGGATGAAATTTGGCACTTACGACCGAATTGAGTCTAGAAGCTAGTATGTCAAATTTGGTGAAGATCGGTTCAGATATAGCTATAGCTCCCATATATATTGTTCATCCGATTTGTTATTTTTGTCCTTCGCAGACATAATATGCACTCCGTAACAACGATATTCAGGGAAATATATCAAATACAGCTCAGATATATCTTTGCCAAATTTTATCGAGATCGGTTTCGATTTCGATATAACTCCCATATATAACTTCGTCCGATTTACCTTTTATTGTGCACCAAACCTCTAATATTTGCCCAAATGGTATGAAATTTGGCACATACGACCGAATTGAGTCTAGAAGCTAGTATGTCAAATTTGGTGAAGATCGGTTCAGATATAGCTATAGCTCCCATATATATTGTTCATCCGATTTGTTATTTTTGTCCTCCGCAGCCGTAATATGCACTCTGTAACAACAATATTTGGGGAAGTATATCAAATACAGCCCAGAAATATATGTGCCAAATTTTATCGAGATCGGTTCCGATTTGGATATAGCTCCCCAAAATATCTCTTTATCCGATTTCAAATTAATTGTGCACCAAATGGGCAATACAAGTCCGAATTTAAAAGATACAAATGCTTCGGAATATTTAGTCCTTAGAACTTTAAATTATAATTATAATCATAGCGTGTATGTTTGAATTTTCCCATAAAAAAACTTTTAATTGTTAAGCGGAGCTCTACTAAATTAGCAAAGTGGTGTAGGGTATCATAAAGTCGGCCCGCCCGACTTTAAGACTTTTTTTACTGGTTTTATATTGAAGAACTGATTTCTAAAATTTATTTCACGAAATTAATTAAGAATTCGCATTTCGTTTATTATTTTTAAACTAAAATGAAGATGCCATTGCGAAAAAATGCAGTGAATACCAGTTACTTTTAAAAAAGCTTGCCATATCTCTGTAAAAAATGCATATGTTTTAAAGGAAAGATATAATAATGAGAACCCGATAATGTGAACTTTATACTTCACTCTTCCTAAACTAAGGGATAACAAAAGTGGGATAACAAATGGAAGATATAAGAACGGGCCATAGACGCATTTGTTAGACCGAATATGGCAACGCTCATGGTAAAATAAAAAAGGTAGTCGCATCGACACAGCTGCTGCAACAATGAACTGTCAAAATAAAATTTGAATTTGAAAATTTTGAATGATTTTTTTTTTAATTCATTAAAATTGTTGAAAAATGTCTATCATAACAACCTCCGATTGGTGTCGTATAAAAAATACATATAAAAATCTGCGTATAAAGAAACTTATAACAATCAAGGTTTTTTTTTTTGAGTCCTCGGAGTTAATCCCGATAAATATTGAAATGTAAAGATACTACCACTCAGATTACTTTTTAATAAATTTGAATAATTTTTAGTCCGAATTCAGGGCACATATTTATTTATATATATAAAAAATACTAACATTTTTATTATTCATTATATATGTATTTTTTTAATTTTTATAGAGATGCGGAAAAAAGGTAAAAATTGCAGTGCACAAGTACAAAGAACTTTATGGTATATGCTTTGCAATACTTAGCTTAAAAAATCTATAATCTGCTTTTGGTTTCAGGTTATCTGAACATAGTTAAATGCTTTTTCTATTCTTGACGTATCTTCCTAGAAACGTAATTTTTATTATGCTCCGTATCATATATGTACCAATGTCGGTGGCATAAAAACATCTGAGTATATTAACTTTGTCATTTAGCGATGTCCGTCGGTCTGTCAGTCTGTGAAAATCAACCTAGCTTCCGAACGAGATGAAGTAGGTTGATAAAATTTTACTCAAATGTATATTATGTCTGCAGGACTTTTGGTATTGAAAATGTCCCATGTAAGTTCACGTTTTGGTATAGCCCCCCAAATAATGGTACCTTCCGATATTCGGTAATTTGATGATTTTAGCGACATTTTTCACCGGAATTGTTTAAAATTAGGTATTTGAAGTTCGTAATGGATACTACAGCCTATGACAGAAAATTGTCTGTGCAGATCCACGTCTTCGTATAGCCCTCATATATCGGTCCTACCGATATTCGGTATTTTGATGATTTTAGCGACATTTTTCACCGGAATTTGGTATTTGAAGTTCGTAATGGATGCTACACCATATGGCAGAGAATTGTCTGTGCAGGTCCACGTCTTCGTATAGCTCTCACATAACGGCACCTCCCGATATTCGGTATTTAGGTGATTTAAGCGACATTATTCACCGGAATTGTTTCAATTTTGGTATTTGAAGTTCGTAATGGATACTACAGCCTATGACAGAAAATTGTCTATGTAGGCCCATGTCTTCGTATAGCCCCCATATAACGGTATCTCCCTATATTCTGACTACAGATTTAGCTACATTATTTACCGATTTTTTTCAAAGTTTCGCATTTGAATATTGTAATGGCTTATGACAAAAGTTACCTATGCAGGTCCACGTCGTCGTTTAGACCCTAATATAACGGCTACATTCACGATTTTTAAAATTTTTTACAGAATATTTAACGGATTTTATTTTTTTTTTTTAATTAGTAATTTTCAAAAAAAAAAAAAATAATAATAAATTCCGTTAAAAATTCTGTTGAAATATTAAAAATTCCGAATGTAGCCGTTATATTAGGGTCTATACGACAACGTGGCCCTGCGTTCCGAATGGTGGGGGTGTTCAAAGTTTGGCCCGCCCGAACTTACAGCTTTTTTACTTATTTTTAATAAAAAATCATCCTCTTGTTGGTGATTAAGGATGGCTTGAGCGTATGTTAGACGCATTTGGCGGTCAGCAGCTAACAGCTAATGCACCATCTGGACCTTGTACGGAAACATCTTCATAGGTCTTGTACCAAAACTCGCTTTTAAGACCGTCGACTGATATCCATTTGCGTCGTACGTCGTCTGGTCGATATCGACGGCATTTCCATGGCATTGTCGGCTTCGGCAGTAATATTCTCTGCAGAAGGCATACTCCGGGATCTGTCACGCCTGACAGCATCCTTTGTTGTACCACTCTCTTCGAGGCGAGCAGCTAAATGTCGCGGTGTTTTACCAGCAGACGTTGGACGGCCAGGAAATCTTCGACGAAATCCATGTTGTGCTAAAGTCACCGACCGATTATTGGTCAAAAAAAAAAAAAAAAAAAAAAAAAACACAAAAAAACAAGGAAACATTAGAAGAAATGTGGCAAAAACCATTAAAATGCCGCATATCGGGAGGTGCCGTTATATGGGGGCAATACCAATTCTTGGACCTACACATGCAATGTTTCGCCAAAGGAGCTAGAACCCATTATGACCTAGAAATACCAATTTTCAGACAAATCCGTGAAAAAATGTGGCAAAAATCATCAAATTACCGAATATTGGGATGTACCATTATATGAGGGCTATGCCAAATCGAGGACCCATACATGCAATGTTTCGCCACCGGAGCTGGAACCCATTTTGACCAACAAATACCAATTTTTAGACAAATCCGTGAAAAAATGTGGCAAAAATAATCAAAATACCGAATATCGGGAGGTACCTTTATATGGAGGCTATACCAAAACGTGGACCTATACATGTCATGTTTTGCCACACGTACAGGGACCCGTTATGACCTAGCAATACCAATTTTCAAACAAATCAGTGAAAAAATGTGGCATAAATCATCAAAATACCGAATATCGGGAGGTACCGTTATATGGGGACTATACCAGAACGTGAACCGATATATCTCATTTTCAATACCAACCATCCTAGACACAATACAAATTGCTCTGCTATATTTTGGCGCTCTACGTCAAATAATGTGGGCTGTATCGTGATTTAAACAGACAGACAGACAGACGGACAGGCAGACGGACATCGTTAAATCGACTTAGAATTTTATGCTTATTATGAATATATATAGTTTATGGGATCTACGACGAATATTTAAGGATGTTACAAACGGAAGGATAAGGTTAATATACCCCCCTTTCCAAGGTGGAGGGTATAAAAATACTCTCCAATATTCCGCGGACCAGTGTAGCGTAACATTGTTTATTAACGTGTATTTCGCATGTGTTTTCTACGAAAATGTCAAAACAGAACTGACATTAGGGGCCAATCGTAAAATTTATAGCATTTGCTGATAGCAGGATTACTTTTGCGCCTCCCTGTAGATAATAGTTTAAAACCCATTAGCATTTTTAGAAAAGTATCCACATTACATTTTCTCACGGTCCTGTGATATATAAAACCCATTTGAATTTAAGGCAGTGTTTACATTGAAGTATTTTATCATAAGAAAAGTTAAAACAAATTTAATAAGCTCAGTAGATTTGAACTGTCAATATTGTTGCGTTTTCGTCATGGTAGAAGAATACAGGTAGTCGCATTGTCGACACAGCTGCTGGGACAGTGAACTGTCAAACCGATTTTGCAATTGAAAATGTTGAATGAACAATTATTCAAATTTGTAAAAATGTTTGAAAAATTTATACCAAAACAACCTCCGATTGGCGTCGTATATGAAAATATATAAAAATCTACTTTTTTTTGATAAAACATTTTAAAATTTTTTGACAGATCAATGTCTCCAAGCATTGATGCATCTACCTGTATTCTTCTACCATGGCATTCGTTTTATCAAACATCTTAATCAATAAATCCATTAGATTTATTATATGTTTAGAACATTTTAAAGGCCTTCATGACCCAGAGCTTTAATCTCTCAAACTCATTCACATTATCCGCTTTCACCAAATATTTGCCTAAACATTTCCGATCGTTTTGTTAATTCACCACACTATATAACACACACCAATACACCAGTATTTGTCCACCATTATTAATACGTAAAATTTGTTTCCAGCTTTATTCTAATCTAAACGCTTTAGATTTGTAACGTTATTTGTTATATCATTATGCTATATATTAAAAAAGCAATCTAAAAACAATTATAACAATTAATTTTTGATTTTCGTTTCATTTTTATATTTTCAAATATGACACCCAAAACCGCTCACCATAATAAAATTGAAAAAAAATTTCAAATTTCATTACTCAAACGTAATTTTGTTGCTAAAATTTCGATAACATTACCATTCATGCCAAAAACATTTTAACCAAAAAACAAAAAAAAAAAAAAAAATGCCATGCAACAAAAAATATTCCGCCACGCCATTGCCCACCGCCACACGCCATCCATCATCCATGAAATTCGCAAACTATCCTAAAATGATATTCGCCAAAAAAAAAAAAAAAACAGCTTAGCCATCTCGGTGGGTTCGTTGTATGTGCGCAAGTACTTCAAGGAGGACTCGAAATCAAATGCCCTGGAAATGGTCAACAATATTCGCAGTGTATTCGATAATATTTTGGATGAAGTCACCTGGATGGATGACAAGACCAAAGCTGAGGCCAAGAATAAATTGAAACACATGACCACCCACATTGGCTATCCCGATGAAATGTTGGATGACAAGAAATTGGCTGAATACTATGATAAATTGGAAATCGATGCCGACAAGTATTTCGAATCATTCCTGAAAATGAATGTTTTCGGTACCGATTACTCGTTCAACAAATTGAGATTGCCTGTCAACAAGACCGATTGGATACGTCATGCCCGCCCAGCTGTGGTCAATGCTTTCTACTCATCCATTGAGAATAGTATACGTAAGTGGCAATACTCTCTTAATACTCTCTCTCTTATATATTAAAGAATACAATTTTAAAATAATTTTCTCTTTATTTTTTCTCTCCACCCCCTCAGAATTCCCCGCCGGTATTTTACAGGGACATTTCTTCAATGCCCATCGTCCCAAGTACATGAATTATGGTGCCATCGGTTATGTGATTGGCCATGAAATCACCCATGGTTTCGATGACCAAGGTCGCCAATTCGATTTGGAGGGTAATTTGGTTGATTGGTGGGAGCCCGATACCCAAAAATCCTATTTGGAAAAGGCCAAGTGTATTATCGAACAATATGGCAACTATACCGATAAACAAACTGGTTTGAATGTAAGTGCGAAAATCAGCTTCATAATTTAGTACTTTTTAAGAATTCCAATAAAAATTTTTCTGTTCTATCTCACCTTCCATCCAGCTCAATGGTATTAATACTCAGGGTGAAAATATTGCCGATAATGGTGGCATCAAAGAATCCTACATAGCCTACAAACGGTGGGTGGAGAAGAATGGCGAAGAACCCAAATTGCCCGGCCTGAATTATTCACCCGAACAAATGTTCTGGATTTCGGCAGCTCAAACATGGTGTGCCGTGTACAGGAAAGGTGAGTTTTAGATTTTTAATATTTAAAATTAAAATCCTTCCTTAAGGTGCTATCAGACGATAAGGGGTTTACATATCTAGTGTCAAATTTTCCGTACATAGAAGTTCTAGAACTGCAAGAATGTAAAAGTTTTTACTACGATAACCGATTTTCCCTTTGTGATATTAGAGAATATTGCAAAACTAGTAGATCCTTGCAGGTTCTGGAACAGACCAATTGTGTGATACATGGAGAGAGTACATATGTATTGGCAAAGTATGGTGCGACAAGTAAAAAAACATTAAGTTCGGCCGGGCCAAACTTTTAATACCCTCCACCTTAGGGTAAAGGAAACATTAGAAGAAATGCGGCAAAAACCATTTAAATGCCGAATATCGGGAGGTACCGTTATATGGGGACCGTTATATGGCCAACGGGGATAGAACCCTTTATGACCTACAAATAACAATTTTCAGACAAATACGTGAAAAAATGTGGCAAAAATCATCAAATTACCGAATATCGGGAGGTACCGTTATATGGGGGCTATACCAAAACGTGGACCTATAATTACAATGACTCGCCACACGAACTGGAACCCATTATGATCTACAACTACCAAATTTTCAGAGAAATTCGTGAAAAAAATGTGCCAAAAAGCATAAAAATACCGAATATTGGGAGGTACCGTTATATGGGGACTATACCAAAACGTGGACCTATACATACAATGTTTTGCCACCCGTTATGACCTACAAATACCAATTTTCAGACAAATCCGTAAAAAATATGTGGCATAAATCATCAAAATACCGAATATCGGGAGGTACCCTTATATGGGGACCCATACATGCAATGTTTCGCCACCGGAGCTGGAACCGATTATGACCAACAAATACCAATTTTTAGACAAATCCGTTAAAAAAATATGGCAAAAATAATCAAAATATCGAATATTGGGAGGTACCATTATATGGGGGCTATACCAAATCGTGGACCCATACATGCAATGTTTTGCCACACGTACAGGGACCCGTTATGACCTACAAATACCAATTTTCAGACAAATCCGTAAAAAATATGTGGCATAAATCATCAAAATACCAAATATCGGGAGGTACCGTTGATGGGAACTATACCAGAGCGTGGACCGATATATCTCATTTTTAATACCAACCATCCTAGACATAATACCAATTGCTCTGCTAAATTTTGGCGCTCTACGTCAAATAATGTGGGCTGTATCGTGATTTCAACAGACAGACAGACAGACGGACAGACAGACGGACATCGTTAAATCGAATTAGAATCTTATGCTGATTATGAATAAATATACTTTATGGGGTATACGACGAATATTTAAGGATGTTACAAACGGAATGACAAAGTTAATATACCCTCCTTTCCAAGGTGGAGGGCATAAAAATGAATCTTTAGATCCCTATATTAAAGTTAAGTCGGAACATGGCATAATAAATAGGTATTCCCCATGGTAGAAGAATATAGGTAGACGCATCGACACAGCTGCTGGGACAATGAACTGTCAAACCAATTTTGGAACTGAAAATGTTGAATGAAAAATTATTTAAATTCGCAAAAATTGTTCGAAAACGCGAATTATAATAACCTCCGAATGAAACATATAAAAATCTACTTATATTTGAAAAAACATTTTTTTGACATATCAATGCTCCCAAGCGTTGTGGCATCTACCTGTATTCTTCTGCCATGGTTCAGTCGGAACATGTCATAATAAATAGGTATTCCCTAGGTAGAATAATACAGGAGTAGCAGCTGCTGGGAAAATGAACTGTCAATCCGATTTATAAATTAAAACATTTTAAATGAAAAATTATTCAAATTTTTAAAAGTTGTTGAAAAATGCATATCATTATGACCTCAGATTGGGGTCGTATAAGAAAACTTATGAAAATCTACTTATTAAAAAAAAAAAACAGTGAAATGTTGACATATCAATATTTCCAAGCGTTGATGTATTATTCTACCATGGTCAGTAGACAGTCCGCTGACCATTACAATGTAATACCCATCCAAATGTATGCAATTTTGTCAATAGGAAAAAAATGAAATAACAGTGCTTAGTAGCATACAGCTAGCATCCGATTTAGATGAGTCGTATTGCTATTACATTGTGAATCCAAATCCATATTATAATTAAAGTATAATAAAATGTGTCCATCGCACTTGTATCTGAATCGGACGTACATAGATTTCGAACCCATCCAGCCTTCGCTTACAATGTCGATAGATTTCGTACCCGTCTGACGGCCTAGGCCATCGCTGCGTAAATGTAAGTAGAAATTGTATACAGGTTTTGGATGAGTCGCACCTACATTGTCAGTGGTCTCAGTTGGAAGATGTATGTCCAAAAAAATTCGCTGGGATGCTCCACTCTTCAAGCAAGAAAGCATGCTCGCCCTTATTCGAACGTAACCGAAAAATAGAGTTTTGTTCTTTTTGTTTTTACTGCCAGGAGTGCTCCAACTCAACTTCCATCGCATTTCACTCTTTTTGTCAGGTTTATTCGTTACTTCTGCCTAGACGGAGGTAGAAGAATTATTGGGCCTTAAAGTGCCACACAAAGCATTTAACTCTTTTTTTCCGGTTTATTCGTTACTTCTGCCTAGGCGGAGGTAGAAGAATTATTTGGCCTCAAAGCGCCACACAAATCATTTAACTCTTTACTCTGATATCAACGCAAACGCCAAAAGTCGATTAACATATCCCTATGTTAGAGTTCTATAGCAGCGCAAAGTTCCCCTAACTCAGAAAGAGTTCCTTAGATCGATAAGTGATCCTCATGGAAAACAGGTTCCCATCTCTGATTAGTGTGTGTGTACCATGCTAGAAGAATATAGGTAGACGCATCGACACAGCTGCTGGGACAATGAACTATCAAACCAATTTTGGAATTGAAAATGTTGAATGAAAAATTATTTAAATTTGTAAAAATTGTTGAAAAAACGCGAATAATTATAACCTCCGAATGACGTCGTATAAGAAAACACATAAAAATCTACTTATATTTAAAAAAAATATATTAAAAATTTTTTGACATATCAATGCTGCCAAACGTTCATGCATCTACCTGTATTCTTCTACCATGGGATTTCCCTTGGTAGAAGAATACAGGAATAGCAGCGACACAGCTGCTGGAAAACGAACTGTCGATCCGATTTTGTAATTAAAAATTTTAAATGACTAATTATTGAAATTTGTAAAAGTTGTTGAAAAATGCATGTCATAACAACCTCCAATTGGTGTCGTATAAGAAAACTGATAAAATTCTACTCATTTTTGTAAAAAATCAGTTAAAAAGTATCAGTCGGCGTAAAAGTATCGGCGACGTATGCCCTCAGCCTATGTTCGATTATTTAAATTTATTTTGACTTCTGTTATGATTATTCAATTGTTCGACCCTCTATGGAGTAGGTTCCGAAGGAATTGTTGAATATTGTACATTTCGGGTCGGACCTAAATAAATATGATATAATGGTTGTGAAGTGCCAGGTTTGGACTATATCGACTACTTCCTTCCCCTTATATGAGATATATAAAAGTCTGACTCTTTGTGGAGGAGGTACTAGAAGGAATGGTTCGGTCTCCACCATCTTTATAATAGATCTTGTGCTGATGGAATTATTGCGACGTACCAAGTATGAATGAAATCAGATGTTAATTAAGCGTTTTATAAGCTTCAGGGATATTCAAAATTGTTTCCGTTTGTGGGGAAGGAGTGAACCTATATATCCCATCCTCACAGCAGATTTTGTTTTAGTAGAACTAATGAGATGTGTGAAATTTGAATAGAACCGAATGCTTATTTTGGATTTTATAATTGTTTTGGTAATTCAAAACTTTGATCCTATGTGGAGGAGGTACCAGAAGGTATGGTCAAATCTCTGCCATCCATATAACATATCTTGTGTTGATGGAATTATTGAGATGTACCAAGTCTGAATGGAAACGGATGTAAATTTCCCGTTTTATGAGCTTCCTGGATATTCAAAATTTTGACCTCTTATGGTTGAGGTACCAGACGGGGCTTCGCAGAAATATGTCATCTTCACACCTGATATTGTGTTAGTAGAAATAATGGGATGTGTGATGTATTTCGGATTTTATGATCATTTTGGTTACTTAAAATTGTGACCTTTTGTGTGGGGGATGTACCAGAAGGAGTGGACCGATATATCCCGTCTTCACACCAGACCTTGAGTTAATGAAATTATTGTGATGTGTGTAATTTATACAGAACTGGGTACTTGTTTCGGATTTTATGATCGTTTTTATACCCTCCACCATTCTATGGAGGGTATACAGGGTAAGATAAAAAACGGCATCCAACTTTTAGACTGCTATCATTTCTAAGCCACTCGTCCGTTATTCGTGAAGGATTTCAAGCATGATAGTGTGATTTCTTTATATTTGGCTGGAAAACCACAAGTGGCTATCGTTAGAGCACTCCAGCATTTAAATGTGAATAAATCTTTGAGTGTCTCGTAACATCGCTCGTTATCGTGATACTGGTAGCGTAGTCTGACGTCAATAAAGTGGACGGAAGAAAACAGCAACATCAGGAGAAATAGTTCGAAAAGTGAAGAAGCGCCTTGATCGAAACCCGCGTCGCAGTGGCTGAAAAATGGTTCATGGCTGAATGGCTGAACATATCGCAATATTCCATTCGGCAAAAATTGAAAAATGAGCTCGGGGTAAAGCCTTTGAAATTCCAAAAAGTGCAAGAACTTACACCGCAACAAAAGGAAAATATGCTCAAAAGAGCTAAAGAGTTGCTTCGCTGAGACGAAATTGGTGAACTGCCGAATTTGGTTTTCTCCGATGAAAGAGAAAACATTCGTTGTCCAGAAGTTTGTAAACAAACAAAATGATCGTGTTTACTTGCCAAAGAGGTCAGCTGAAAATGTGCACCATCGGTTGGCCACCAGAACTCAAGCGCCGGCCATGGTGATGGTGTGTGCCGAAACGCCATTACAGCCGATGGTCGCTCTCCGCTCATATTTATCGACCGTGGCATCAGATGAATGCAGAATATTATCGCGAAAATATTCTGGAGGGTGTATTAAAGGCTTGGACATGCAAACATTTTGGCCGCAGACCTTGGACATTCCAACAGGACTCAGCACGCACTACCCAAGAATGGTTACAAAATAAGGTTCCCGCTTCATTTGAAGCGCCCAATGGCCACCAAAATCTCCGTTGGACTATTGTGTCTGGAGTATTTTGAAAAGCAAGGTTGGCACTAAAAAATACCAAAGTGTCGATCACCTCATGCAAGCGCTTCCCCGGTAATGGGCCAAAATACCGCTGAGCAACATTCGGGCAGCGTGTGACGGTTTCATTGGCCGTTGGAAGGCCAAAGGTCACCAATTCGCACAAATCTAAACTTATTCTAAAATTTGATGAAAAAATAAATTTAAAGAACAATGTAAAAATTATGCCGTTTGACTTTGTTGCAGTTTTTTTTTTATCTCACCCTGTATAGTCTCTGTTACCTCACGCATATTTCCACATTTTCCAAAAATGTGCACATATCTCATAGAGTAGATATAGTCCAAATCTGTCACGTTGTAATATTTACATAAGTCTTAGGTCAATGTTTGCCAACTGCTTTGAAACCTCCCTCCTTAAGAGTCAACAGTTTGAATAATCATAAGTCAAGGGCGGGGGTCATACATCTGTCGGCAAAACCGACTCCTACTCTTTATTTTTTTTCTTTAATTTTCCAAATAGGTCAATTATTGCGGTTAAGCTGTATAACAGTTTGAGTGTAAACGTACCTTTATATAAGTTTTTATGGTGTTCATTTTGAAATCTATCCGATTTCGAACTTATTTTTCTTTATTGATATTATTAACCCTGTACTAACCCTCTATTCTTAATTAATGTTTTTCAGAAACTCTCAAAATGCGTATCACCACCGGTGTCCATTCACCCAATGAGTTCCGTGTCTTGGGTTCGATGAGCAACATGAAAGACTTCTCAAAAGATTTCCAATGTCCCGAAGGCTCACCGATGAATCCCGTTAAGAAATGTGAAGTTTGGTAAACTTCGCAGGGAAAAATATTCAAAAAAAATATTTGTTTATTACTTACTACACTGAAAGAAAAGAAAGAGGTTTCTAAAACCCCCCCCCCCCCCCCAAAAAAAAAAAAACACAAAACTTTTTTCTAATGTTGACATTTTATTATTATTTTTTTTGTATGTATGTATTAAATCTCCCTCTCTCTCGCCCCCTATCTGTTGTACTCGGCACGAGCGTGTTTTCTTACTTCTAACATTTATTTGACATTAGTTTGTAAGTGCAACCATGTGTGTTTTAGTATAATTTATTAATACGTCAACCAATCTGTATTTTTTCCAATTACTATCTACCTTTCACACCCACCACACTCCAAACCGAACGTTTTTATTTTACTCTTTCGAAATTTTACAGATTATTTTGTAGAATTTTCGTTAGAGTTTGTATGTATTGTTTTAATTTTTTTTTTAACTAAAAACAAAACCAAGCTAAGTAATTTTATATGTATTTACGTATGTATGTTTCTTTTTTTTTTTTGAAAAAACAAATATGCCAAATCAAGAACAATTTGAAAAAAAAAAACATTTATATAATTTTTTTTTTACTATTTTTTTATGTTAATTATAAAAATCTTATTTTATTTATAACCATTCGTTTACATACGAAACTTATGTAACAAAATTTAAATTGATCAAAATATTATTATAAAACAAAAAACAAAAACTTCAAGAAACACAAAAAACGATATTAAATAAATGTGAAATTAATATTAAAAAATTATACTTGTCTTTTAATTATATTTTGGTTAAATCTGTTGATAAAATAAATAGAACAGTGTGGCTTGTTTGTTCGGGATACCGTAGTATTTTGTTGTTGCAAAATGGTCTGACTTTATCCCTTTATTGTTGTTTTTATAAAAACAACGTTTGTTTATTAGTGGAGAACGATGGTAATGTTAACCAGGGGGTAAGGCAGGGAATACCTAGGTTTCGGAAAGAGCCACCAATCCTCATCAGTTCCCTTGTTTTTGTCTGGGATATTCTCCCCAGAAGTTATTTTAAAAAATAACTTCTATGACAAAAAACATTTTTTTACCCAAGTGACGAGATCGTAAGCTCAATAGAAGAGGAACCAAAGAATTAAATAAAACTAAAATTCTCTTGGAAAGTCTTTTAAAGAGCTTACGATCTCGTCACTTGGGTAAAAAAATGTTTTTTGTCATAGAAGTTATTTTTTAAAATAACTTCTGGGGAGAATATCCCAGACAAAAACAAGGGAACTGATGAGGATTGGTGGCTCTTTCCGAAACCTAGGTATTCCCTGCCTTACCCCCTGGTAAACATTACCATCGTTCTCCACTAATAAACAAACGTTGTTTTTATAAAAATAAAATAAATGTTTGTCTGGCAGTTAATGATATGTCAATCAGTCTATTATAGCCATGAACACGCCTATATTTTGGAGTTGAAGTCAATTAAAACGCATGGCATAACCAGAAAGGCGGTTTAGTTTCGAAGAAAATAGGAAAAATGCAACTCTGTCCTAAAACTCTGTTCCTGGCTTATATAAAATTAAAACCAGTAAAGAAAGTCCTAAAGTCGGGCGGGGCCGACTTTATGATACCCTACACCACTTAGCTAATTTAGTAGAGCTCCGCATAACAATTTAAAGTTTTTATGGGAGAATTCAATGATACACGCTATGATTATAATTATAATTTAAAGTTTTAAGGACTAAATATGCCGAAACATTTGTATATTTTAAATTCGGACTTGTATTGCGCATTAGGTGCACAATTAATTTGAAATCGGATAAAAATATATATGGGAACTATATCGAAATCTGAACCGATCTCGATAAAATTTAGCAAAGATATTTCTGAGCTGTATTTGATATATTTCCCTGAATATCGTTGTTACGTAGTGCATATTACAGCTGGGGGTAACAAATATAACAAATCGGATGAACAATATATATGGGAGCTATAGCTATATCTGAAACGATCTTCACCAAATTTGACATACTAGCTTCTAGAACCTATTTGGTCGTATGTGCCAATTTCCATTCCATTTGGGCAAATATTAGACGTTTGGTGCACAATAAAAGGTAAATCGGACGAAGTTATATATGGGAACCATATCCAAATCTGAACCGGTATCGATAAAATTTAGCAAAGATATTTCTGAGCTGTATTTGATATATTTCCCTGCATATCGTTGTTACGCAGTGCATATTACGGCTGTTGTTAACAAATACAACAAATCGGATGAACAATATATATGGGAGCTATAGCTATATCTGAACCGATCTTCACCAAATTTGACATACTAGCTTCTAGACTCAATTCGGTCGTAAGTACCAAATTTCATCCCATTTGGGCAAATATTATACGTTTGGTGCACAATAAAAGTAAATCGGACGAAGTTATATATGGGAGCTATATCCAAATCTAAACCGATCTCGATAAAATTTAGCAAATGTATTTCTGAGCTGTATTTGATATATTTCCCTGAATATCGTCGGTACGGAGTGCATATTACGTCTGCTGAGGACAAAAATAACAAATCGGATGAACAGTATATATGGGAGCTATAGCGACATCTGAACCGATCTTCACCAAATTTGGCATACTACCTTCTAGAACCTATTCGGTCGTATGTGCCAATTTCCATCCCATTTGGGCAAATATTAGACGTTTGGTGCACAATAAAAGGTAAATCGGACGAAGTTATATATGGAAGCTATATCCAAATCTAAACCGATCTCGATAAAATTTAGCAAATGTATTTCTGAGCTGCATTTGATATATTTCCCCAAATATTGTTGTTACAGAGTGCATATTACGGCTTCGGAGGACAAAAATAACAAATCGGATGAACAATATATATGACAGCTATAGCTATATCTGAACCGATTTCGATAAAATTTGGCATACTTATTTTCAGGCCTAATTTTGTTTGGTTGTGCAAAATTTCATACTATTTGGGCTGATATTACACGTTTGTGGCACAATAAAAGGTAAATCGGACGAAGTTATTTATGGGAGCTATATTCAAATCTGAACCGATCTCGATAAAATTTAGCAAAGGTATTTCTGAGCTACATTTGATATATTTCCCCAAATATTGTTGTTGCAGAGCGCATATTACGGCTGCGGAGGACAGAATTAACAAATCGGATGAACAATATATATGGGAGCTATATCTATATCTGAACCGATTTCGATCACATTTGGCATACTTATTTTCCGGTCTAATTTGGGTGCATATGCAAAATTCCATACAATTCGGGCTGATATTTCACGTTTGGTGCACGATATAAGGAAATCGGACGAAGATATCTGTGGGAGCTATGTCTAAATTTTGACCGATTATCTCCAATTTTAATAGGGTTCGTCCTTGGGCCAAATAAATGATCTGTGGAAAATTTCATCTGGATAGGGCAATAAATGCGAACTGTACTTTGTTTACAAAAATACATGGACAGACGGACGGACGGACGGACATGCATAAATCGACTCAGAATATGATTCTATGCAGATCATTAAAAGGAACTATGGGTCTATCTCGTTTCCTTTTGCCTGTTACAAACAAATGCACAAAGACATAATACCCTGACCACCTTGTGGTGTAGGGTATAAAAATAGAGGATCAAAAATAATTAATAATTTTGAGCAATCGAATATCGATTACTAAAAGTCAATTAAGCAATCAAAAGTCGACTTATGTATCCCTATTTCTGTCGTTATTGAGAACGCAACGAATGTTACGTACAGCAAAGTTGAATGAAATTATTGTTTAAGCTGCATGGCAGAAGAATATAGGTAGATGTATCGGCACAGCTGCTGGGACAATGAACTGTCAAACCAATTTTGCAATTGAAAATGTTGAATAAAATTTTTTTTTAATTTGTAAAAATTGTAGAAAAACACGAATTATAATAACCTCCGAATGACGTCGTATAAGAAAACATATAAAAATCTACTTAAATTTGAAAAAACATTTACAGTTTTTTGACATATCAATGCTCCCAAGCTTTGAGGCATCTACCTGTATTCTTCTGCCATGTTAAGCTGCTATCAAACGATGAGGGTTTTCTAGGTTATGTAGTGTCAACTTTTTCATATGTAGAAGTTACACACGTCGTGTGATACATGGACGACATTTCAATATTGAAATACACATACACATACAGTAATGTGCTTTCGATCACAGCGATCACCATTTTCAATGGAAAAATACGATTTAATCAAAATTGTAATCCGAGCTTTGAAAGGAACTTGAAAAATTTCATAAAATTCGGAAGAATACCGTTTAATTGCTGACCTTTATACAGAGGCTTTACGAAGATGTGGACCTGCATAGACACTTTTCTGTCACAGGCTGTAGTACCTAATAGGAACTTCAAATACCAAATTTCTAACAATTTCGATGAATATTTTACCTAAAATCTTCAAAAAACCAAATATATGGAGATATTGATATATAGGACATATACGAAGACGTGAACCTGCATAGATAATTTTCTGTCTTAGGCTGTAGTATCCATTACGAACTTTAAATACCAAATTTGAAAAAAATTCCGGTGAATAATGTAACAAAAATCATCAAAATACCGAATATCGTGAGGTACCGTTATATGGGGGCTATACGAAAACGTGGACCTGCACAGACCATTTTCTGTCTAAGGCTGTATTATCCATTTCGAACTTCAAATATTAAATTTGAAACAATTCCGGTGAATAATGTCGCTAAAATCATCAAAATACCGAATATTGGGAGTTAGCGTTATATGGGAGCTATACCAAAACGTGGACCTACATGGCCCACTTTCAGACATAACATACATTTGAGTAAAATTTTATCAATCTACTTCAATCTAGAGTGATTTCCACAGACGGATAGACGGTGTTTTCATACCCTCCATTCCATCACTCCATTTGGAACTCCTCGAATAAATCATTTTAGACCCAGCAACGTGTATTGATTCTACATAGATTTGTTGTTTGTCTTCAGACAGGTCAGGTTCGAAGATGGGCTATTTGGGTCAACGTTTTCCTATAGCCCCCATATAATTGTATTTCCCGGTAACGGAATAGTTTAACATTTAGTATTTATAATTCGTTCTACCCACAATGGCAGTCCACGTTTTGCGTTTTTATACCCTCGGCCATATGGCTAGAGAGGGTATATTTCATTTGCCTCATCGCCTCATTGCCTCATTGCCTCATCGAGATAACGGTTTTAGACCGTAGGTCTCTACAGGCCAAATCCGTTTCAGGACATTTGGAGTCGATTTAGTCTGGGGGGCACGATAAATCTCGAAGGAAGTATCCGATTAAATCCAAACTTGGTACCTCGTAATATTTTTGTCAGACTTAGATCGAGTACGGAGATGGGCAATGTCGCGCCACTCCTTCTGGTACCTCTCCCACAAAAGGTCAAAATTTCCATAGAAAATCATCTACCGCATAGGAAGAGAACGGATAATCTGATTTTGTTAAAAATTTGCAAATCCTATTTTTTGCATCAGTTCTAGGTCAGGTGCAAAAATGGACAATATCGGTCTACTCCAGCAAATACCTCCCCCATAAAGGGTCAAAATTTTGAATAATTATAACTCCTATAAAATGTGAAGTACGATTCCGATTTCCTTCTTCAAATTACAAACATCACAATATTTTTAGTCACCCAAGATCTGGTGTGAAAATGGGATATATCGGTTCACTTTTCCATCTGGTACCTCCCTCACAAAGGGTCAAAATTTTGAGTATATATGAAGCTCATAAAACGCGAAATTAACATCCTTTTTCTGTCAGACTTGGTACATCTTAATATTTCTATCAACACAAGATCTGTAACAATGAAGCTCATAAAAGGCAAAATTAACATCCGATTCCGATCAGAATTGGTACGTCTCAATATTTCTACTAACACATGACCTCCCCCACATAGGTTTCAATATTTTGAAAAACAAAACGCTCAAAGAAAGCGAAATAAGCATCCAACTTCCTTCGAATTTCACACCTACAAACATTTTCGCTAACACAAGATCTGTTGTGAGGTGATATATAACTGTGAACCTCTTCTGATACCTCACCCACAAATTATTATACCCTACACCACATAGTGGTAAGGGTATTATGTCTTTGTGCATTTGTTTGTAACATGGAGAAGGAGGCGAGATAGACCCATATAGATAATCGGTTAAAAAATTAGATATAGCTCCCATATATATATCTTCGTCCGATTTGCCTTTTATTGTGCACCAAACGTGTAATATCAGTCCGAATAGTATGGAATTTTGCACATACAACCAAATTAGGCCTGAAAATAAGTATGCCAAATTTGATCGAAATCGGTTTAGATATAGCTATAGCTCCCATATATATTGTTCATCCGATTTGTTATTTATGTCCTCCGCAGCCGTAATATGCCCTCTGTAACAATAATATTTTGGGAAATATATCAAATGCAGTCCAGAAATACATTTTCTAAATTTTATCGAGATCGATTCAGATTTGGATACAGCTCCCATATATAACTTCGTCCGATTTACTTTGGATGGTGCACCAAACGTCTAGTAGTTGTCCAAATTGGATGGAACTTGGCACATACGACCAAATTGAGCCTAGAAGCTAGTATGTCAAATTTGGTAAAGATCGGTTCAGATATAGCTATAGCTCCCATATATATTGTGTATCCGATTTGTTGTATTTGTTACCCACAGTCGTAATATGCACCCCGTAACAACGATATTCATATCAAATACAGCTCAGAAATATCTTTGCCAAATTTTATCGAGATCGGTTCCGATTTGGATATAGCTCCTATATATATCTTTATCAGATTTCGAATTAATTTTGCACCAAATGGGCAATACAAGTCCGAATTTAAAAGATACAAATGCTTCGGCATATTTAGTCCTTAGAACTTTTAATTATAATCATAGCGTGTATGATTGAATTCTCCCATAAAAAAACTTTTAATTGTTATGCGGAGCTCTACTAAATTAGCAAAGTGGTGTAGGGTATCATAAAATCGGCCCTGCCCGATTTTAAGACTTTCTTTACTGGTTTTTCTATTTTATTTCAATCTGTTTTCAACGCCCATTTAATACTCACCTTTTTTTTTGCGTTACCTTAAATACCCCTGGATTTAAAAAAATACAGAATCAAATGAATTAAAAAATAATATACGTCGATTTTTTTCAAATAAAACCACTTGAAATTTCTCTACAACATTTTGTTTTTCTAATTTATTTTATTATAATTATTATTATTTATTATTTTTATTATTATCATTAATATTTTTCACTAACATTTTTTGTTTTCGTTCAACTTAAACCTAAAACAACAACACACCTTGCAAATGCAAAAAAAAAACTTAACGTCATTCCTCCTCGACACCATAATTGACCATGTTCATTGCCACAGCGTAATCCCAATCGCGAACATAGGGAAACCGATGGATGACAGCCCAGCGATTCGCGTCCATTTCGTAGTGGGCAATAAAGTCACCACACGTGGAATACAATTGATTGTCGACGGTGAAGATCTCGTAGAACTCTCGCTCCTCACCAAAGTCTATGACTTCCCAGCGATTGGCCCGCATGTCATAGCGTTCCATGCACATGCCCAAACCCTCACAGCAATAGATATTGTCGCCCAGCACTGCACTGGAACAATATCCCTTCACATCATTCATGGGCGCCAGAAATTGCCAAGAGTTCTCCCGGGGATCATAGCGTTCCAGGCAGTTATAGCTACGTATCTCCTCCTCACCGCCCATGACATACATACACTCCCCATGGACCACGGCGCCCATGGAGCTGCGATGCACCAGCATGGGTTTGCAGAAATCCGATTTATTTGTGGCCAAATTGAGATATTCCACCGAGTTGGTAATGCCATTCGAAGAATTCCCCCCAATGGCATAGAGGCAATCGTTGACAATGAGCGAACGATGATGGGAGCGTTTCACCTGCAATGGGGCCAAATCATGCCACTGATCACGATATATATTATAGTAATAACAGTTATTTGTACTACGTCCAATACTGCCACCCTGAATGTAGAGTATATTTTTATAGGCTGCCAGGCTAATGGCAAACGCGGGCCTTGGAGGTGGTTTCAGGGTCAACATTGTACCCGTCTTCAAATCATAACGACATGTTTCCGGGTTTCGACCCATTTTATCCACCAAAAATATACGCCATTCAGAGCTACCCTCATAGTGTTGGACTTCGCTTAGCCATTGTGAGCAATCGTTTTGCTTTTGCAGGGTAGTCAGTGACCTTGTGACCTCCGCGGACACACACATCGGATGGATGAAACGCAGGAGTTGCGAGAGATATGACAACCGTTGTTCGGGCATGTACTCGGCCCAGCGTACAATTCCCTGGAGTATTGTATCGTCGGAATGCATGAAGAGCTCATTGTTGCTGAGAATCGGCACTAACTGAAAAAAGAAAAAAATGTTTTGCTATATAACGGATTTTTGAGAATAAATTATAGAAAAAAATATTTTCTTTCATATTCTTTATCAGGTGTGATCTTCTTCTAAAAACAATATATTTTTATTAAATATTAAAAAAATATATGTATTTTTGTTATTTATTGAGCTTTGTATTTTCAAAGAAATTTTCTATGATTTATTGGGCGTGGATTTTTTAAAAATATTTTTTTTGATTATTAGGCGTGGATTTTTAAAAAATATATTTTTATGATTTATTAGGCGTCGATTAAAAAAATTAATTATTTATTAGACTTGGATTTTTTAAAAAATAATTTTCAATATTTTTTTGGCGTGGTATTTTATAAAAAATAATTTTTATTATTTTTCAGCCTTGGTTTTTTTTTTGATTAAAAAAATTGTATTATTTATTAGGCATGAAATTTTATAAAAAATATTTTTTATTATTTATTTGGAGTAGATTTTTAATGATTATTAGGCTTAGATTTTTATAAGAGTGGATTTTTTATATTTATTAGGATTGGATTTTTATAAATATTATTTTTTGAAATATTTTTTATGTGGAAAAAAATATTTTTTATTATTTACTGGGCGTGGATTTCTATAATTTTTTATTATTTATTGGGTGTGGATTTTTATATATTTTTTTATTTTTAGTCGTAGATTTTTATAAAAAATATTTTTGTATGGATTTAAAATTTGGATTTGGATTTTAAAAAAATGTTTTATTTACTGGGCGTGGATTTTTATAATTTTTCTATTTTAAGTCGTAGATTTTTATAAAAAATATTTTTGGATGGAGGTTTAAAAAAAATATTTGGATTTTATCAAAAAAAAAAAAAAAAATGTTTCATTTACTGGGCGTGGATTGTTATTAAAAACATTTTTCTTATTATTTTGTTTATTAATCAAGCGTAAATTTAAATAAATAATTTTTATTTTTTGTCGTCGATTTTTAAACATATTATTTTTAGATGGATTTTTACAAAAAATATTTGTTTTTTTTTTTTTTTTTTTAAATATTCTTTATTATTTATTAGGCGTGGATTTCCAATATATATATATATATATATATATTATTTATAAGGCACTGATTTGAAATATAATTTTTTTTATTATTTATTAGGCGTGGATTTTTTTAAATTCTTTAATAAAAATATAAATAGATAGATTTTTATAAAATATTTTTTTTTTTTAATAATGTTTATTATTAATAATTAGACTTGATTTTTTATATATGTTATTATTTATTAGGTGTAGGTTTTTAAAATTTGTTTTTTATTGTTTGTTAAAATATTATTTTTTTCTGTGCGTCGATTTAAAAAAATAATGTTTAATTTTTTTAGCCACTTTGTATAAAAAAATTTAAACGAGGATTTTATTATTATTTCATTGGCGTTGAATTTTTTAAAAACCGATTTTATTATTTTTTTAAAAAAATATTTTTTTATCACTTCTTAGGCGTGGATTTTCTAAAAAATGTTTTCTATTTTTTTTATAAAAATGTTTTTTTTTATTATTTCTTACGCGTGAACTTTCTAAAAAATATTTTTTAGAACAGTGTTGGCTTGTTTGTTCAGGATACCATAATATTTTGTTGTTGCAAAATGTTCAGGCTTAATCCCTTTATTGTTGTTTTTCTGTTATTTATTATTATTATTTTTTTATTATTTATTATTCATAGATTTTTATTAAAAATGATTATTATGATATGGAATTTTTAAAAAAAATATATTTTTCATTATTTTTTTGTTTATTAATTATTTTAGGCGTGTATAATTCAAAAATTATTTTTATTATTATAAAACATATTTTTTTATTTTGTAAGCTTAGATTTTTTAAAAATAATTTTAACTATTTTTTAGGTTTCGGTTTTTTAAATATTTTTTTATTTTTTTTAGGCGTCAATTTTTATAAAAAAATATTTATTTTTAGCCCTGTTTTTTGAATATAGTTTATTATAAAAAAATAATGTTTATTATTTTTTTAAGCGTGGATTTTTAAAACAAGAGTGTTTATTATTTTTTTATTTTTTGTCGTGTATTTTTTAAAAATATTTTTTACTTTTATATAGGACTCGATTATTATAAAAATGTTTTTTTTTAATTTTATAAGCCTGGATTTAAAAAATGGATGTTTATTATTTTTTAAGCTTAGATTTTTAAAAATTATTCTTTATTATTTTTTAACCGTCAATTATTAAAATTTTTTTTTAATAAGTGTGGGTTGAAAAATGGAATGTTGATTAATTTTAGACGTGGATTTCTAAAAATAAAATATTATTATTTTTTAAGGGTCGATTAATTAATATATACAAAATTATTTTTAAGCGTTGATTACTATAAAAAATAATTTATTACTATTTAATAGGCTTGGATTTTCAAAAAATAATGTTTACGCGTGGATTTTAAGAAAATAATTTTTATTATTTTTAAGCGTCGATTATTAAAAAAACATTATTTTTAAGCGTTTATTTAATAGGCGTGGTTTTTTTTTTTAAAAGAATGTTTAGTATTTTTTAGATGTGGATTTTTAAAAAATAATTTTTATTATTTTTTAGGTGTGGATTTTTAAAAAGTAATTTTTATTATTTTTTAGGCTTCTATTATTAAAAAAAATATTTTTTATTATTTTAATAATAAAAAAACTTTTTTTTATTATTTTTAGGCGTCGTTTACTATAAAAAATATTATTTTATTATTTTTAGGCGTCGTTTACTATAAAAAATAATTTGTGTTATTTTAAAGGAGTGGATTTTTTTAAAAAAAATAATGTTTATTATTTTTAACAAATAATTTTTAGGCGTTGATTTTCTTAAAAAATAATTTTTATTATTCTTAGACGTCGATTTTTATAAAAAAAATATTTTTTTTATTATTTATTTTTATGAGCATTTTTATTATTTTATTTTATTTAAAAACAAAAATGTTTTTTTAGTGTTTTTAAATTTAAGAAAACATAATTTTTTATGCGTTGATTTTTTAAAAAATGTTTTTTTTTATGGGCATTTTTATTAATAATTAGCTGTAAATCCAAACAAATAATTTTTATTTTTAGGCGCAGATTTTTTAATTTTTTTTAATTATTTAAAATTAAATTAAAAAAATAATAATTTTTATTTGTATTAAAAAATTTATCAGATATGGATTTTTTATTTTTTTATTATTTATATTTTAGAGATATTTTTTTATTATTTATAAGGCATAGATTTTAATTTTTTATTATTTATCAGGCGTGGATTTTTTAAGAATATTTTTTTATTATTTGTCAGGTATGGATTTTTAAATATTTTTTATTATTTATTGGGTGTGGATTTGTTTAAAAAATATTTTTGTATTATTTATTTTTAGAACATTTTCATTATTAATCAAGAGTAAATTAAAAAAAAATTAATTTCTTAGGCATGGATTTTTTAAAAAAAAAAAATTTTATTATTATTTATTAGGCGTGGGTTTTTATTTTCATTATTTTTTTTATTTTTAACTTTTGTTATAATTTTTTGGCGTAGATTTTTTAATTTTTTAATGTTTTTTTTTATTTCTCCAATTTTATTCTGTCGTGAATTTTTCCAATATCCATCCATTTTGAAAATATCCAACTTATTAACTCACCTCCTCGTAGGACATTTCATAGAACTCCTCACACTGCACCACATCCTGGAAATGTGTTATAATATAATCCTTGGCCATTTCCAGCAGTATTTGATTGTTTTGTTTCTCGGCAAAGTGTTTGAAACCCAAACAATTCTCCGGATCCAGTAGTTCGCCCATATGTTCACCGCACATATCCGACAAGTGGTCTAGCTGTAGAAACGAGGCGGTCTGCATCAGTTGCTGGACATAATCGTCACTGATGTCGACAAGACCTGTGTAAATGAATTCCACCACCAATTGCAGGCATTGCGTATCGATTTCGGGCAAATATATTTCAGGTTGATCACTTTCCGGGAAATGGCCGCTGAACATGGCCATAAAGTAGGGACTGGCGGCAGCGAGTATGTTACGATGAGCTGATATCCGGGTGCCATCACAGCCCAGGAGTACAACATCGGTGAACTAGACATAGAGAAGATAAGTGTTTTTGTTTACAAAATTCTGCTGTTTGGGGCAATTTGTGACAGAGGAGAGTATTATATACAGTTGTCTCCCCTTGAGGAATATTTACATACACACACAGAGACATACCTGTTCTCTTTTCCTAAACTCATTCAATTGCTGCAGCAGATGACCACTTGTCCCCCTTATAAAGGAGCGTGGCTTCATCGATTCCTGTTTGGTTAGATCCACACTGTTGTTGGTCTTCTTCGTTAGCGCCTCCGAGTTATCCATTTTTTCCATTTTCCAGCAAACATTTGTTGTTGTTACTGGTCTCCTTAGATCCTTCCTTGCTGTCACTTGTATCAGCTGCGTGTGTTATAATTGAATTATTTTTTGTTTCGTCTTTTTCTCAGTATAACAGTTAGGCAAATGTTTGGTATACGTTGACATTTGCGGGACATGCGCATCGCTAATTTACCGTTATCTTGTCGTCAGCTATTTGTTATTGTCTGGAGGTCATGTAACGGTAATTTGGGGTGTGTGGGGAAAATAGAAAAATTCAAAATAATGAAGATTTTTTAAAAATATTTGTTGTTGAGTTTTTGGAAATACTTTTTAAGTCCTACACAAAAGTGGATTTTCTAGAACTTTTTTTTAATTCTTGGATTGTTTAAAAAATATTTTTTTTTCAAGTTTTATAGAAAAGACCTAGCTACTATTTACGTCGATTTTTAAGAGATGTTTTTCCAAGTCCTACGCTATCGTGATTTTTAAAAATAAATAATTTGAAGTCCTTTTTTTAATTCTTGGATTGTTTAAAAAATATTTTTTTCAAGTTTTATAGAAAAGACCTAGCTTGTATTTACGTCGATTTTTAAGAGATGTTTTTCCAAGTCCTACACTATCGTGATTTTTAAAAATAAATAATTTGAAAAATAATAATTTGAATGTGAATATTTTAAATATTTTTTAAGATGGATTTTTATTTTTATATTTTTAAAGCCAAGTTGGTTTATTAAAAGTATTCTTTAATCTTTAAAAAAATAATAATCACTATTTTTTTAATATTTAGATTTTGAAGATTTTTTACAAATATTGCTTTTAAGCCTCATAAAAACTTGAACGCTTTATACCTCAAAACGGATTTTTTAAATTTTTTTCAAGCTAGAAATATATGAGTAGAAAAATCCTGAGTGTTTTTTTTAAGATTTTCTTTAAAGCCTTTCCAACGACTTGGTTTTATCATTTTTTTAAAGCAAACATTTTACATCAAAAAAGTCTTCAAAAGTTTTATATTTTGTTATCGAGGAGGATATCGAGGAGGATATTAGTAAATCATTTGCACAATTTTTATAACCTAAGTCATATAGCTAGAGAGGGTATATATCATTTGACAACGGCTTTAGACCCTAGGTCTCTTTGGACTAAATCCATTTCAGGACATTTGGAGTCGATCTAGCGATGTCCGTCCGTCTGACTTGCTTGTGCGCACGATAACTCTTGAAGGGAGTATCCGAATTGATTCAAACTTGGTACATCGAATATTATTATTGTCAAACTTAGATGGAGTTCGGGGAGGGGCAAAATCGGTCCACTCCTTCTGCTACTCCCCACAAAAAATCGAAATCAAAGAAAATAATTTACTGCACAGAGGAAGAAAGGACTATCCGATTTTGGTTGAACTTTGCAAATCCTAATATTTAAATCAGTTGTAGGTCAGGTGCGAAAACAGACAATATCGGTATCCCCACAAAGGGTCAAAATTTTGAATAATCACAACTCTCATAAAATGTGATGTAAGTATCCGATTGTCTTCGAATTTCTCACATCCCAATTACTTTATTGATTCAAGGTCTGGTGTTAAGATGGAATATATCGGTCCACTCCTTCTGGTACCTCCCCAACAAAAGGTCGAAATTTTCAAAAAATATATTTTTTCTGCACAGAAAGAGAAACGATTATCCAATTTTGCTCCAATTTTGCAAATCCGAAAATTTGCGTCAGTTCTAGATCAGGTGCGAAAATGGACAATATCGATTTCCACCATCCCCCCAATGGTCAAAATGTTGAATAATTACAACTCTTATAAAATGTGATGTAAATGTCCGATTGTCTTTAAATTACATACATCACAAGATTTTTATTAACCCAAGGTCTGGTGAGAAGATGGAATATATCGGTTCACTCCTTCGGGAACCTCACCCACAAATGGTCAAAATTTTGAATATTCATGAAGCTCATAAAACACGAAATTAACTTCCAATTCCATTCAGACTTGGTACATCTCAATATTTCCACCAATACAAGATCTGTTAAAAATATGGTAAAGATCTTCCTTCTGGCACCAAATTTTGAATAACCAAAAGGTTTATAAAATCCGAAATAAGCATCAGATTCTCTTCATACTTCACACGTCCCATTATTTCTACCAACACAAGATCTGCTTGTGTTGCCGGTCCACTCCTCCCCCACAAAGGGTCAACATTTTCCATGAAGCTCATTAAACGCGAAATAAAGTCCGATTGCTTTCAGTCTTTTCATTAACACAAGATCTGTAATAATTGTGGTAGAGATCGGACCATTCCTTCTGGTACCTCCCCGACAAAGGGTCAAAACTTTGAACAACTAAAACGACAATAAAATACGAAATAAGCATCCGGTTCTCTTCATATTGCACATATCACAATACTATCTGTTATGGAGATGGTAGAGATTGGACCATTTCTTCTGGTACCTCCCCCACATAGGAATCAAGATTTTGAAAAACCAAAGGTGATGGCAGGCGTAATAAGCATCCAAATCTCCTCAAATTTCACACATATAAAGATTTTTGCTACCTCAAGATCTCTTGTGAAAATGATATACATATACGAACCCCTTCAATATATTTATCTGTCATAACTTGCGAAACAAGTCAGCGATTCTGTACAACTTGCTATGTTTAAATATTTCTCTTAACCAGAAATCTGATATGAATATGGAATTTCTCAGAAGTCATGATGTCCGTCTGTGGAAATCACTCTAGCTTCCCAACGAAATGAATTAGGTTGATACAATTTTACTCAAATGTATATTGTAGGACTTTTGGTATTGAAAATAGGCCATGTAGGTCCACTTTTTGGTATAGCCCCAATACTTGTAAATCCATTTTTTCGGAATTTTGGCGATTTAAGCGACATTATTCATCGGAAATCTTTCTTTGGTATTTGAGGTATGGGTACTACAGACCATGACAGGCAATTGTCTGTATTATGATTTCAGCGACATTATTCACCGGAATGGTTTTAAATTTGGTATTTAAAGTTCGTAACAGATGCTACAGCCTATGACAGAAAATTTTCTGTGCAGGTCAACGTCTTCGTGTAGCCCCCATATAACGGTACCCCCCGATATTCGGTATTTTGATGATTTTAGAGACATTATTTACCGTAACTATTTCAAATTTGGTATTTGAAGCTCGTAATGGGTACTACAGCCTGTGACAGCAAATTGTCTGTACAGGTCCACGTCCATATAACAGTACCCCCGGATATTCGGTATTTTGAAGATTTAAACGACATCATTAAGCGGAAATGTTTCAAATTTGGAATTTGATGTTATTAATGGGTACTACAGCCTGACACAGAAAATTGTCTGTGCAGGTCCACGTTTTGGTAAAGCCCCCATAGTTCAAGTTTCGCATTTGAATATTGTAATGGCTTATGACAAAAATTCCCTATGCAGGTCCACGTTGTCGTATAGATAATAATATAACGGCTATATTCCGTATTTTTAAGATTTTAACAGAACTTTTTAACGGATTTTTTTCCGAAAATTTCAAAAATTGTGGAGAGTATTCAAAGATTCGTCCTTTTTTACTGGTTTTTGTTTTTTTATATTTTCCTTCTAAAAAGCCTTCTCCCTTAAATTTAAACAACATTCGTATTTTTTTAATTTTTTGTGATTTTTATTGATTTGTGATTAAACAACTAACATTTTTCGAAAAATAAAAGAGGACAAGGTAAATACAAATAAAATATATATGTTTTTCGTTTTCTTTTTTGCTTTCTTGTTTAACCATAATTGTTATAATAATAATAATATTAATCATATATATATAATTATAATTCCAGTATAACTTTTTACAGAAAAATATTAATGTGTTTTTTTGGGTTGTGAAAAAAATGTGGTAAGAGAGCGAGAGAAATATTTATATATAAAAAATGGATAGGGAAAAAGTAAAAAAAAAATATAAAGAAATTTGTGTAGAAAAATAAATTCATAAAAAAGTTATGTTTTTTTCATTACAAAAATAATAGTAAAGAAGTTTTGTTATTTTAATTTTTGGAGTGGGATAGATATGTAATAACTATATGTGTTTATATGTATTGTGTTAGTTAAGTTAATTATTTATTTATTTTTTTATTTTATTAAAAAATATATAAGAAAAAAATTAAAACACACATAACAATATATAGAAAAAAATTAGAGAGAATAGGTTTTCTTTTTTGAAATTTACAATTTTTAAAGCCAAAAATTCAATACACCGTTTTATAAATATTTTTGTTGTTATTTCAACATTTGATTTAGGAAAAACTTATTAATTGCTACATAATTATATTTTACAAGAAAAAATTTTATGGTATGCTTTTAGGCGTTTCATTTTTTTCTACCAATATCCAAAATCCTGTCAAACTTAATCATTTTGTAATAATTAAAAAAAAAATCCGTTGCTTAATGTTTTCCATTGTTATTATTATTATTATAAAAAACACATTGTTATATTTATATAAACTTAATAATTAACATATATGTATATATATATAAAATAATAAAAATTAAATAATGATATGATACAATTTTTTGTTTAGTTGTTTTGTTTTTTTTTTTTTTTTGGGAATATTTTATAATTTATAATCGTTTTTTTTAATATTTTATAAATATTGTAAATATGTCGGGGTTTTTGTTTCAATTTGTTTGTATAATTCGTTTTAACAATTGATAATCTTTTTTCTTTATAATCTTTTGATAATCTTTGCTTTGAATCGTTTTTTAAACTTTATTAACATTTATCGATAACATTCCATAGAGATTTTTATTTCAGTTATAATGTGATTTTGATTTTGATATATCAAGCAATAAAATATATTTCCAAAGAACCATAAAAATTACTTTTAAATTTTCGCTTTTTGTTCATTAAAAAAATCTCTTTTTGTTATAAGCCTTGTAATTTCGGTTTTTCTTTCTGGATTTGGTTTTCGTTTCGTTTGTAGGTTAACATTGTGCCACAAAGTATAAAAATAATTATTTAAAAGAAAATTAATATTTTTTTTTTTTGAATTTTTTTTCTTGGAAAACATGAAAATTCTGCGATTGAAAAAATTTAGAAATTTGGTTTGAGGAAGTTTGAATTTTTTTCATAAAAAAGTGAGAAATTAAGATGTCGGTTTTGCCGACAGATGTATACCCCCAGCCTTGAGTTATGATTATTCAAACTGTTGAC